CCGACATATTATATAAATTCGAATTTTCTGATTCTAGCACCGAGGAATTTTGCATCCTAAAAGTAAGCACAATAAAATATGATGTATCCCACCCCTGAAGCCGCCTTGCTCCGTGAACACCGTGCACCCATGGTTGGTAGCTCTACTGCTGGGCTGGTCCTGTGTAACAACAAATAATACCACTAGCTAGTACATTAAGGGCATCCTCACTTGATAGCTTTGAACAACGCTTACAGTTAGATGTGCAAAGGGTAGGGGCGACAGGTCGTCGTTCAATGTGATATAATCAGCCGCCGCGCCGCGTGCCTTCGAATACGAGTACCAGCTGTAAAGATCCAGATAAAATTTAACCTTTAAGTTTTGTCGGCCCTGCTAAATCTACCGTTAGGCGCTGCCAGGATCTCCCCATGCACACCCTCAAACATCAGTGGGACGAGATCTCGATATTTTGAGATCTGCCGTTTAAAAAATGTTAAAAACATGCTTGATTTTTTTATGTGAAGTTTTAAAAACAAAGACATTTGAAAGTGTTTAGAATGTTCGTGATCTGTAAAATCAGGCCTTGTTTTGCTCTTAACTTGTGCATGTTGTCTACAACTGTGATGTCCCCGGGCTACTGTATGTACGGTGTGACAGTCTGCTCACTTGACTGCTCATTCTTAACATATTTGCAGACGGCCTTTGCTCCAGCAGCCATGAATTATAATTAAGATTAACAATTGTCCTTCTGCCGAGAAAAACCGGATAGGCGGGGCTTCAGCATCCTTCGGTTACCTGACCTGACCTCAACTGATTGTCGATTCCCTGACCATGAAGTCACGTGTCCTGATCTCGCTCTCTTATTTGATAAGTTGTTAATTTGATTGACACCTTATTAACGTTGCAACAAGCTAGCGCCAAGTCGGCCGCGCAGCAATCAAACAACAACTGACTCATGTCGCGGCCACATTCAACGTAAGCCGTCGTACGATTTTGAAGTCGCAGAATTTTCGGCATTTTCAAGCTGGTTGGGCTAAAGTGTAGTTTGCGGCCCAACTTATAACTTTGTCTGATCGACGCGCTAGACTAGCTGTGTTTCAAGGGTCCATTTTACGTCCGACGGCATATGTCTTCGTTTCTGACAGCGGGCGCCCGTACTTGACGTCAGAACCGGGTGGGATAAAACGTCGGGCGAGCCCGAGTTCACGTCGTCCGAGCCCCTACTACGTCTTTCAGTCCCCTCTTACTCACGACGCGACGATTAAACTGCTCGGTGATCGAGGATTATGGTATGTGTATTCAAACTTATGACATCGACAGCGGTATAAAAAGGGCTTTGCCCAAAATTTCAAGGTTTCGAACAAGTGGACACAACAATCCACCCAGTTAAACACGCCACCGTCGCCAACTAGTATATACTGCGACGAATGCACGGTTTTTGCTGAACACATCAAAACAAGTAAAAGTTGATAACTATCACTTAGATACCTGTGTCGTCTTATCTTTGAAGTTGGGAAACGTTAAACTAGAACAGTATAGACCACGAACGTACAAGTCTACATAATGACGTTATACCATGCGTTTTGGTTGGGCGCAAATCATGTCGTCGAGTTGTCGTCCCGTTTCCCAAACCATGCCTTTTCAAGTTAAGCTTCACGGCAAACGTAACAAACATTTGATACTTTCTACAATGAACGTCTGTGAATATCAAGGCTTAAACCTGGACAGAGAGACTTTGTCTGTGACATTGACAAGAAATTTCAGCGTCTCTAAAAGAGAGCCAAACGTCAAGATTATGGAGTTACAAAAAACACTTGAATGTCCTAACCACGAAAGAAAGCCTTACACAGACCAGGCGGGGCAAGAGCCGTGGAGACACAATAAGAATTTCTGATCGTGCACCTCAAAAAGTGACAAAGTTATCATTTTTTAAAACTTAAATGCATAGAAAAGACACCCAAAGTTGTGATATTTCATCAACCTAGCATACTTCTTCGATCATGATATCGCAGGTGCAATAAAGTAGAAAAACGGACAAAGACAGGTACTTACTGGTTTAGTGTTGTTGGTGGAGCGAAGTCGGTTTATGTCAGCTCGCTGTCCACTCTCCAACTTTATAGTGCTAGGGTATATATATACCATACTATTATTAGATTGGTGAAAACGTCATTCAAATGAACAATCGTGATTGGTCAAATGTGATGGTGTGACACCGCAAGAAAAGAAGACGCTCGAAAACTCCAAATGTCTGGAGAATCACGTATACGTAATGTACCACCTAGGCCTTCTCATGCTGTCTATTTCTATTTCTATGTATTGATAAAACGTCCTTGGGCCAAGACACGAATCCCATGACTGTTTGAACCACCGTTTAGTTCACACAACCTTTTCTGCCCTCCCCCATCGTTCAATGTGCACTGAAGTGAAACGCAACTAAATCAAAGTGTTGTCCATTACAAGTCACTGACCTTGGAAAGAAATGCATGATATCAAAAGCATTAAAAATTGACAATTAATAATTATATAAAGTATCAGCTAGATTTGGGACCATCACAGACACAAGCACACATGGTACATTGTGTCGTCAGGTAGTTGACCTAATAACAACTCGTTTCCTTGTCGCCTTTCCTGGTGACACCTGGCACCTACATAGACACCTGAACTAAAGATGGCTGGGTCTTCACAGCGATTCTCGGCACATGAACCAATTGCCCCATAAATCTCAAATCCCCCTGTCCAATCACAACATTTGCTTACTTTGACGTTTACGCAAAGTAAGGTATAGTAAGGGATTGGGGCTCGGACGTGAACTCGGGCTCACCCGACGTTGTATCCCACCCGGTTCTGACGTCAAGCACGGGCAACCGCTGTCAGAAACGAAGACATATGCCGTCGGACGTAAAATGGGCCATCGACACACAGCTAGAGCGTCGATCAGACCAAGGACATTATCCTTGATCAGACAAAGTTATAAGTTGGGCCGCAAACTACACTTTAGCCGCAGGCCGTGTCAGAACTAATCAACCGGCAATGATATAAGACAGCCTTTCTGTAACAACTGACAGCTAGCTGACGTTTGTACTACACATTATGAATTCCCTCAGTTTTCGATCGTACGATGATCGTATAACGAACGTAACTGGATCCTTAATCTTATCCTCTATCTTCCTAAACTTCGTCCGGACTTATAGAGATTTTACTTCATCTTTGTGGCGACGGCCCTACCAGTTGAAAAGACGAAAACTAATGTTGTGAAGTGTGATTATCCTAAGAACGCCCTGTTTGCAATCGTACGACCATCGCACGACGTTTGTGACCAGGCACTTGCCTGTCGTTACTCTTGTTAAAGTGGATGTCGCACCGTGATCGAGGAACCTGGGCCCTCCAGGTGTCGGCAGTTCTGGTATGGACCCTGGCCTACTGCCGCCTCTACTGTGTGTGGGGCTCCGGCTAGAGAGAGACTTTTCCAACTTTTAGAGACGTCTCAACTATCTGGGTAAAACTGGAGCTGATTGGAGGGCCGACGTCGCGTTACCGTCAACGTCAACAGTTGCCTAGCAGCCAAGGTGTGAAATCAGCGTTATAAATAACTCTGTTACACCCACCAAGTACCCTTAAGGTAAGCTGAACATCACGCATCAACCACCCCTTAAGGTAAATTAAATACCACGCAGTAATTAGGCTGTCTTGAAGGTTATGAACCGATGTGATTCTGCCCGATTTTTATTCAATACGTTGTACTTGAAACTTCAGATTTCCCTACATTGCACACCCTTCACGAACCTTAGGCCTTTCCCTCCGTTAGCGAGAAACAGATTTGCGTCTATTTTACCACCTTCTGCAAAACCTGAGCAGGGCCCATGATAGTGGATCAGCCCGCTGCCCCTCCGGCCTTAAAAAGGGTTGCTGGACCTTCACATTCTCTCACTCGAGTTTGCCCCGTGTACCTGAATGGAATACCTAACTGTGTTGTGGTTCATTTTGTTCGTAGATTTTTACGTTTCTTTTTCACTTAGTGGGCTTTACGTCGCAAAAAAAAACAGTTTGTATAATAAAGTTTAACAGTTAGTGATTCACAACAAAAGGAATTGACAAGCCGACGTCCGTCACCTCCCGCAGGGCAATACTGACTGGTTCTACCATGCACCGCAGCTCACTCACGTTTGAGATTGAAGTACTAGTATGTATAATTGTTTATTCCCTAATAATTACTGTATGACAGTATCTATGTACATACATGTATTTCTATACCATACAACAAAGTTTACACTACCTCTCACATAGTCACTGACTTTATGATTAGAATATTATTCACGATGTAACAGTGTGATTTAAATTTAAAGACAACAAAACCTAGAAAACTTTAAAAGATTCGATCTTTATCTATGAAATTCGTTGAGCGACCTGTCAAATGTTTGGTCGCTCAGCGTCTAGTGTAACCCGTCTTGCAAATTACGGCCGGCCTAAAATGCGACACTTGTCCATCCATCGCCCATCAAATTTGTACCTGGCCATATTCATTAGTACACGAACATTTTATCATTTTACAGAAAGAAATTATGGTATGATGCAAACTGAATGCCTTTGTTTGTACGATTTATATCAACATCTATCCATCTCTCTCTATATATATCTATATATTTATATTTATACACAAAAATCGACAGTTCAGCTCGCTATCTTTTGGAGATACGCTTTGCTTCGAAGAGTCTTGCTGTGAGAAACTTGCACTGATTAACGATGTCAAAGTCCTTTTGCAGTAACTCCAGAAATCGTTTGTCCCTCGAAGGCCATCTCGGATAATGGCAGAGAAGAACTCTGGTGTGAGGCCTAGAGAGTTGTTTTATGGTGAAGATGAGGTCTCTGTGAAGTTCTTCGAAGTAGATGATGTCTGTGCCAATGATGAAGTCATAACTCTTGTCAGAGAAACGGTCGAGTCCTTTTCCCCATGTCAGTTCCTGAACCTGCCAACAAATGCAGATGTGCAGATCACTGAATCAATCAATCAATCAATTAATCAATCCAAATTTACAGATGATAAATCGATTTATTACCAACATAATCTTTATTGTTTTGTTCAAAATTCAACTTTTGTTCAAATTCAACTTTCACTCCAATGGTGAAAGTTTATGATCAGGCCCAGGGATTTTAGAACTGCATTTAGATGACTTTCTACCATTGCTGTTATGTTGGATTTAAATCACTTTGTGTACACATAGTACCTTCGGAGTATGTCGGCATCCTTCTGTGTTCCTCCTGACGTTTTCCTCCAGGTTCCACAGCACTTCTCTCAGGTCAGTCAGGGTCACGTCTGCTCCTGAACAACAAATATATACGAATTACATTATACATTCTGGGACAACAACATTGATTTCACAGTGGGGGTAGAAAATATTTCCACAATCTATTGTTCTAAAAGGACACTGGAGACAATGAGAATTGTCAAACTTTATCTTCAACGAAAAGCAGAAGCGTGATTTCGTGGGTCTTACCCATTAGGCTTGCCACAATCCCAACAATGCCAGTCCCCGCCCCCAGCTCCAGAATGGTTTTGTCCACCAGGTCGAGATTCCCGCCATCCAAGTACTCACAGAACGCCTCACCCTGTTTTGTTTTACATAGGACAAGAAATCAAATATGGCTGTTTTCATTTACATCATACCCACACACAGGCAAACACGCCTGTCCTTGGTGCTGAACACTATCCACACACAGGTAGACACACCTGTCCTTGGTGCTGAACACTATCCACACACAGGCAAACACGCCTGTCCTTGGTGCTGAACACTATCCACACACAGGCAAACACGCCTGTCCTTGGTGCTGAACACTATCCACACACAGGCAAACACACCTGTCCTTGGTGCTGAACACTATCCACACACATGTAAACACACTTGTCCTTGGTGCTGAACTCCATTTACCCACAAGCAAGCACACAACCAATGGTTGTTAGAGTTATTTATTTGTATCATAATCATTACATTTAAGCAATTTCTCACACTCTTTCAACACCCACAATAGTTGCTGCAATAAATTCGGCAACAAAAGTTGTAGATGTGGGCCACCGTAAGTACCCGTACTTACTGCGTGCCAGACCTTGTACCCCACCTCTTCTTCCATAGACACTTGGATCTCCCTGATACGCAGACTCCTCCCCGCGAACGTGTAAGGCACGAGTTCCGATCTGTCCCGCATTTTCCTCTGTTTTGTCGCATTCTTGTCGTCGGCCGTCGGTTTCCCTGCTGCCTTAGTTGTTTCAAGCGTGCTCTCTTCGGCTTTTGTCGTAGTCAGTTCGGGCTTCCAAATGCCGAGCTTGTCTCCTAGGTCATCCGACAGCATGGCTCTTATTTGCAGTGAGGATTATTGGGCAGACGGTTCCTACAGTAATAGTTGTAACAAAAAGAACGTTTTTGAAGTGACGTCAGCGATATGTCATATGACATATTGGTGTCCCTATTTGCATTATTCAGTACATCATAGCTCAAGCGCTAGCGTTTTCGTACATTCCAAGTCTTTTTTTAACCACTTTTAAACAGCTCATAGAAATAACCTAATAGGCTAGGTTATGATTTTTTTACATGAAATAGGAACACCAATATGCCAGTCGGCAACTATCTCCTTCATTGGTATGGAAGGTGACTAGTACTAGAAAAACCCTATAAAAAGAATGCGATCTATACTATGATATAGTTAACAATGATATATGCGTAATTGGCGCCCTCTGTCGTATTCTTTTCAAAGTGCAGCTTACAAGCGGATAGAATCTGTGAAACTACAGAATGCCAAGGTAGATGTTTGCGCTTTCGATGCGGACTTTTTGGCTCCTGAAAGTACTAGAAAATTGGTTATATAAAATAAATGAAATTGGGTTAATAATCTGCCAGAGAAAATAGCTAGCCAAAGAGATTTGCAACCACAGCATATTTGGACAATCGACGAGATCCTTGCAGGTCGTGTGGGTGGTTGGTTATTCTGTTACAACCTGCTTCAAAATTATATATCATCGAAATCTTATAACGATTTACGATGAATTTGACCGCGCGCTCAATGCAATGATAACTTGGCCCGATTCTTTCGCCAGATCGCCAGTGATGTAAACCAATGAGAATTCTTTCTTGCTTGCCTAAAAGCATCGTGAGGCAAAAAGCAGCTGTTGAGCTCCGTTAGGAGGCACGCGGTGCAGCTATGTGGTGGGCTATTCTTGGCTAGTCTTAGGCCACAAGGCCAATAATGGTAGCACAGCCTGCCAACGTTCCTCATTCACACAAACAAACAATAAACATTCACGCTTAGTCTCTACCCGACTCGATGGGTTGCTGAAAAATAGTAGATATTGGAAAAATACACTGAATGGACAATCTAATATACCTGAGGAGGTAGCCAATTAAAGGAGTCCTTTGATATTTATTCTAATACAGAATATAGAGACTAATCTAAGCTTCCTGCCGTCTTGCCGTCTTGTGGACGAATTTCTTTTCTTGGTAATTTTCTCAAGGAATTCAGTTGTAACGTTGCAGCGATCATCGGAAACAAGATGGACTCGAGATGTCATACGTACGAACATACGCAAATACACTACCAACCGGTTAGAAAGTCACCACAATGAGCATCTACTTCTTCACATCAATGTAGCACTTTGATACTTTGCCATTTTCAAATTATATTGCCCTTTATGAGTGCACATACATTGGTACCTTTGTCAACAACTACATGCATTCCAAAATGGAGGTCTACCGCTACCGAAGTAGATAACACGATTGCGAACAAATCATCATAGCTTTGCGCATACTTAGACTACTGCAACCAGTTAATCGCTTCATGGAACACTATGGCACATCATATTTCCACATTTGGTAACTTAACTCTAATGCAAAGAAAAAGCAGAAGATGCTCCCACTTACCAACCTATAGTCCTGCCGACCACCCACAGGAGAGATGAACTACATAGATAAACGTGGGCTTGGATCGATCATAAATCATAATGTTGTTTCAAATAGATATTTGTTCGTGGCCCGACAAAGCTTGAAACCCTTCTTGTGGGTCGGACTTGTGTATCAACATTGAAATTTCTACCATTTTTGGCAAGATCAAAGCAATGAAAATGGAATGTTTAATTTTGTCCAACAAAATCCATTGCCAAAGGACGACACAGTCTAAACTGACAGTCGAGTTCGGCCCTATAGGCTTTCTTGACATTCATGCGTCGTCAACATAGGAGGCAATATTTTAATTTTGATATTTGATATTTTACTAAATATATTTCGCAATGACGTGAAAAGTTATGAGACTGACTCCTGCAAGGCGAAGTTAGCCTCCCTACTAGGCACCGCATGGCAGGTGTTTTCCTGTTTATCATGCGTTGTCCGACTAGTTTGGTTTTTATGTGTTTGCTTGATTGTTTGTTTGTTTGTTTGCGTGCACGTGCTTGTCTGTAGTTGTGGCATACAGTAGAATCAGGGACGGCAGACTGACAAGATTCGTAGGTCATATTGGAGGTCAAATCTTCTCGCAGGCTGTTGCGAAGTGAAAGTGGAATGTGCACAGTGTCAACAAGATATCAAATGGATAAAACAAGCAATTACCTCAACATCAAATTCTTCAAAATCTTCAAAATCTTCTATTTCTTGTTTCCCACATAGCCTGTTATGCGTAGTGATGCACTGGCAGCTTATTAACATTAGGAGATTCAAAGGAATGCCTGAATCCCGTTCTCCACATTGATAGCTCTCCTTTATACAGTAGATAAGTGATTTATTCAATGGAGAATCAGTATATATAAGGCATGCAACATGTGTGCACTAAATCACAGAGGTCCATCAGTCTGTGTTGTACGAACGAAGGACACGCACATTTCATATTTTGAGTCATCTTTGCTTTCAACACATATTGGCTAACAATCATGTTGGCAAATCAGCATTCCAACACAAACGTTCGACAACCCTGCAATCCTTTGCTTTTCTTCAGGACGACCGAAACTTTGGCTACGCACTAACTGTAATATAAAGCTAGTCGATAGTCGTCGCTCCCTGCACTCATCAAAGCCAGTCCTACTCTGTGGCTGGCTGCATTCATCCGCCCGCACTTCATAAATATCTGAAATAAAAATTCAACGTGTAAGTATGTGTACAAGCCTACTTGTTGGAAAGTAAAAGCTGAAGAAGACCAGACTAAAAGGGTTGATTGACACATTGATGGACCCCTACTCTTCTCGATACTGAGGTCTGGTGGGTTCACTGATGGTTGCTCGAGGTGTGGCTCTCTGACAGGGACCTCTGGCTTTACGTCCCATCCGACAGGACGTTCCTAACCTCCTTTTTTTACCCGGGTTGAGTGGGGAAATACCTTTCCCAATGGTGCAACCGTGGGATCTATAAAGGGCTAAAATAGTCACACGACCACTGGCTACCTACTTTGTTTTTTTTAATTATTTGGTTGTATTTTTCTCCATATATATTGGGTATGTTTTTCCCTTTTCTTTTCACAGCGGCCTAGAGGGTTTGCGCATCTTGGGGCACAGCGTATTCAAATAGATGGCGGCCGGCTTGTTGAATCAGGCGTTTTGTTTTGTTTCTTCGAGCAGATATTTCGATGGCAGACGTTGGCCGTTTGGATACTGTCCGTCTGCGTTGCCTGTCGTTTACGAGTTTGCCACCGATACATCTACTATCAGGACCTGGACTAGTGCCTGATAACTTTGACACCTGAAATATTATCTCGAAACTGCTCGTCACCTACTACTGTAGTTCCCGCGCAATGAATCCTGGGAAAACTTTAATCTCCGCCCCCTCTGCAACATTTCAAGATGGCCGTCCGTCTGTGGAAGTAGACCGGTTTGTTTTCCTCCTCTTCCGCCCGACTTTCGCTGTGTTCCCTCACTGTTAGCTGTCGCGATCGGCCAGTCGGTGAGTTTCCAACATCTATGGATGTCGTAGAATGCAAGGGACATGAAGAATTTACCCAGGGGAGAAGGTAAGGGAGGCTGTAGGGTGGTGGAAAACGGCCCAGTCCGCTCGGTGCAAAGGCCGTCTGGGGCAGATTTTGCCATCATGTCGGCGGAGGAAATACAGAAGCGGAAGAGCAGTATTGAGCGGGACCAGGTTGTTTTGGTGGCAGAGATTGCCCGGATTGACGACCCGATCGAAGGCGAGGTCTTGAAAGCTTCCAAAGTGCCAAATTTGGAGGAAATTTTACGAGATGGTACAGAGGGAGGAGAAGCGACGGACGGTACCAAGTGTGGAAACGGGGGTGGCGTGCGAGATGTGAATAGGACAGATCAAAACACAGCGGACATCACGTCGTCTTGCTTTGAGGAGATCGACTTGGAAGGGCAGGAAGGATGCCAAGACTGTTCTCAAGAATCCAATAACTCAAAACAAATCAGACCTCCTGGTGCTAGCCGTGGAACCAGTACAATTTCTGAACCAAATATGGGGAGGGCTGATTTGAATGGAAGTCCTGAGGGTCACGCGTCTAATACAAGTTTCACCGATGGGAAGACACTGATATTGAAGACTTCGCAACAAGGCCAAGACACTTCTCCGGAGAGCATAACAAATGGCTGCACGCTTGGTAATGCAAAGAACGGCATCTATGGAAGTCGGCCGCGTAACGACAGCGAAAGTAGCACTGGAGTTGCACACCCAGATTCGCAGGAATACCCCGCACCTGTGTTGGAGGTCACGTGTGAGGAAGCCTTCGTGGCGACCGTTTCTCGTGACAGAAGGGTGTCCAGGACTTCGCTGGACACAAAGTCAGAAGATCTCGCATTAGAAGGCGATCGTTTGGACCATGTAGAACCAGAAATCCGTCGAAAGTCAGCCACAATCCCCAGGACTAGCACTGACACATCTTTAGCGCAAAGCGATGCACAGTCCTTCACGAGTATATCCAGTCTAAGCACAGAACTGTCAACAAGTGCATCGATAAGCGACACCTCCCGTAGTAGTTCGTTAGTGGTAGACACAGAAGACGCAGGTTTTACAGACATAAGCTTGCAAGGAAAGACGATATTTCACGAACGGAAGAGCTCGATCAGCAGCACAGGAAGCAGCTGTTTAGATGACAGTACTGCAGTGGTTCAAGGAGCAAAACCCAAGAGGCGTGGTCTGGGGATGTTCCTCTCAAAGTGAGTAGAAAGTTTTCAGCCCATTTTCAATTTTGACAAAAGGTGGGAACTAACAGACCCATTGTTGACATTCATAACATAGTGAATGAGTGATATAACTGACCCCTTTATGATGTGTAGACAGTAAGTAGCTTTACGGGTTTATTGTCTACCTGTGTTTACATGGTCATTGATTGGCTCAGCGGCTTTCTATTGTCAAATCAATTAACCCCTCCCACTGCCTAATTGGATTAAAGGGAGAGGGGTGCTATTCCTCTTAGGATATACTCACATGATTCAGTATAAAATACAAGTTAACTTCTGATTTACAGATTTACTGTTTGTATATATGTGCAAGTACTTCTGTGCAAACAAGTACAGTATAGTATAAGTCATTAGAAAGGATGAAATAAGGTTGTCCTGTAGAGGATTACTAGGAGTTTGTCATGGGAAACTTGTCTCTTTTGTCATCAAAGCACACACTGTCAGCCATCTACTGTTTGTGTGTTTGTCAAGTCTAAACAGAGGGAGATTAAAGGGATAAAGACTGAAGGTTTAGCCAGCTTGATGGTCATGTTTATATTGAAATTGTCTTTGGTCTAATTCTGTCCCTTTTTTAGTCTAACATGGAAAAATGACATCTTGCAAGCTTGGTATATGAAACTCAATGACAATCCCAATAATTCTGTGTAGAATTAGGCTATGCTATCCAGCTACAATTTAGATGTAGATTATCCAGGCTGCTATGGTAGACTATGTACTTTTAAGTTGTAATTTGAAGGAACTATAAAAACTGGAATTCTGTCATGGATATGTGGTTGACAGCAGACAGCTGAGGACCACAGGCCACAGGTCACTCAATGATAGTGATACAGCTGAATCTGCCTGCAATCTAAAACACCCCATAAAGCGGTGTCTTCTGAACCAAAAAGATAAAAGACATCAAAGTCCAGAGAATTGTTGAATCTGACCAAAGTTTGACCATGTCAGCTCTAGAGTCCAGCTTTGATGATTACAGCAGGCCAATCCTGGCAGTCAAGTAAAATCAACATTCTGGCAATGATTGAATGAAAAAGTGTTGGCTTGTCAATAAGATTTTTGGCATTTTTAGATTTCATTTTGCATGACTATGTTTTGACAGAGGTGGGAGGGGCTATAAGGTTGATCTGTTCTGACTGAAGAAACAAGGAAAAAGAAAGATACAGACAACATCACACTAACATTATGTTCATGTTTACCCAAAAATTATAATAGTTTTATAATGTCACAGCAATTATGCAAGAATCAGGTTAATGATACCTGTGATGTTAGCTATTTATTACAATCGTTAAAATTACTTAATAGTTAATTTTGCTTATTTATCTAAAGTAGAAAATTGACAATGATACGTTAATTGCAAATGCATGCCTGGAGGCTAATAGAATTGTGAGTTGCATTGAAAAAAAGGAACAAGCAATGAATATATTATTGAATTAGCCTGAAACAGAGAAGTGTAACTAAGACTGAGTATGTTCAGCTTATGTCATGTGACGGTTGATGGCTGTCATTGTTCTCAGGGTGGGCAAAGGTTTTGTGGACTCATTCTGATGTGGCAACACTGGACTGACGTAATCCCTATTGGTATGATCAAACATAAGAATGGTACGAAGTCTGATGTTCTCTAGTCCGTGACTTAGCTTTGTGTATGGCAAATATTTGTCACCCCCTACCTTCACATATGTCCAACAATTGCAATAATGACATTCCACATACTGTGAATGTATTTATTTTTGATGGGACTCAATTTCGCAGTAGGAGGGGAAAGAAGTCTGTTTGCAAATTTCATAATCAGAGTACATGTACATTGGTGTACAAGTTTGTTAAGGGTATTTCTATATGCTGCCCCTTGCTCATATATGAAGTGTGGAATTTGCTTGGGCTGTTTTATTGATATGATACTGTATTTGAATATATACAGCCTAAAACATGAAGCATAGACATACTAGTATATGTAAAGGTATATTTCTCTTAGTTCCTCATGGCCCTTTCTAGGATGATATGTTTCGCACTAGTTAGGAGCAGGCAACGCTAAGGAATGATGTCATTTTCCTGCAGCCATGTCCCAATGGAGATAGATTACTAGACAGCTGAACAAGCGTTTTCCAAATACGATTGGGAAAAGGAACATTATAAGGGCTTGTATGAGTCACCCATTAGGTGTGGCAGCTATCCATTCTTACTGCTGGAGGAAGGCATTTATCATCATACTACTGTTCAGCTGAGAATCGTTACTTATATTCAAACATGAGGCAAAGGAATTGAACGAACAGGGCTGGAAATACTGGGTTAGTGGGTACATGTATACTTTTGTGCATCCAAAATTGGAGCTGTGTGCCTAATTTTTTACTATGGCAGTATGGGTGTACTATTGCACCTATTGTGTAGGGTTATATACATGTACTATTCCATACTACTATACAGCATATTCTTTAGATGTCAAAATTTACTTAATAAGCTGGGTTATTTTAATGTCATGTAATTACAATTATGCACTGAGGATGTATGGCAAATTGGCAATGTGTGTATGCATGTATTGGGAATGGCAGAAACACACAGAGACAACCTTGCCAAAAAGACAGACATGAATTACTGCACTCTCTTATATCTGTACTACTTACTGATGTCCATACCTTCACAAAGCCCAATTTTTCAGTTAACCTAGTACATCAGTGTATGCCCGTGTGACAGCTTGGATCAGATAGATGAGAGGGTTTGTCATACCTCTGTAGTGCCTGTAGGCCATCATCACAGTCAGAGGGGTTCTTTACCTGCTCTTAAAACTGACTCTAATTGTATCTGACTTAAAAGAATGACCCACTTGAATATACAGTTACTTAGTTACTAGTAATGCCATGTTGCGCAGCAAATTATAGCACCCATATCATACAGAGAACTTATCCAGTTGCTTGATTAATTTTTTATCATGTAATATTCTACCTGGATATCTAACCTTCATTGATGTTTAGTGCCAGTAAGTTGAAGTCACTGCTTTCTGTAGCCTTTCCTCTAGCAGATTTCTTTCATCCACAAATACGTTAATTGGATGCCAGCTTGTTTGGTGGAAAGACATGTCATGTCAAGCCCTGAGGGTATACTGTATAGGGTATGGGTCCGGAAAGTACAGGGCTCGAAATACAGCATTTGTTTTCTGCCTGTATAGTTCCGATTTTACCTACACACATGCAGATGGCATTTCCAGCCCTGTCGTAGTAGCTTAATTTAAAGGGCTTTCCTGACGTCAATTGTTGCCCACTTTTAGGTCATCCCCAGCCTAAAGGGAAAATAGTTGTCAGATGTATTCACTTCCTGTTGGTATGAGTTTGCTTATACTAAGTTATAGGTAGACATTACCAGTACTAGACAATGAGTTTGCTTATAGGTAGACATTACTAGATACAGACCACACAGAAGACATGGAAGCCAGTTTTTTGTCTAGCGTGCCTCTATGTGGAGGGAATTTGAAGTTAAGACTGTGGGATGCCAGGTATGTATTTGGAATTTTTCATTCCTTGCTTGACAGGCTGTCTGCGTTGGGGGGAGGGGATGGGGGCATTCACATCTGTAACATCCAAGCCTTTTAAATTAAAGCATTTTTGTAGGAATACTTGATGAAAGTTGAGAGTCTTTCACAGTTAGTAAACTGGTCAAAATATAATATTGAAGCGGAATGTTGTGTTGACCAGTTCAAACCAGGAAAAAAGTCGTTAGGTATAGCTGTCAGGTTTGTTTGTTCTCGTGCCTATTCAACCATGACATCTTGATAATACTGTCAATACTGTCACACTCACAGACAACATTGCACAGTCAAGAAACAAAGTAATTGTAACATTCCAATATTTTTCAGACAATGTAATAATCTCAGTTAGGAAGGTTGTTTTTTTTACTCCAGTTCGAATAGGACTAAGGTTGTACTCAATGTTTGTAGGGCTATTTCTGAGTGTTTACAAATAAGATGTATCTTTCTGGTTCATATTCAAATAAAAAACCTTGACTTTCTACAAATATCTAAACCAGGTAGGTCTTATCAAACAATGTTTTCTGGTACAGTTACAATGAACCAGTCTAGGGACCAGTCTTGGTTTTTCAATTTTTATTTGCTAACTTGCTGGTATTTCTGACAGTGTTCCTCAGACATCCTTCTTGAAGTCTTATGCAGAGAGCTTTCTACTAGGGCCTACATCAGCTTCACAGTGCAGTGTTTTGTAAACAAAGGGCCATTAAAAGGGCTTTTTCAGACAAAGGTGTTGTTAAAAACCACCTGTCTGTATTGCCTTGTGGTTGTATTGTGGCTGTAACAGTAAAAGTCCACAAACAAATCAGTGCAGGTCAAGTGTTTGCTATAGGAAGTGGTTGGTTGTAAATATGTACTCAGAAGAGGATGTACCAGACTGGGTGTAACTGGCCAGAATGCACCCTTGCCAAATTATACCCGGGTATATTCTAACCAACATTGATTGTTATTGGGAAGATCAGGATGAAAACACAGTCTGAGAGAAAAGTCTGTACTCTCTGGTGTACACATAGTCTCAGGTAGTGAATATTTTTACTTTCAATTGTCTAGCTATCAATCAATGCATTAAAAGTTAAGATCTTTCAAATGTTGACTAGTCTTGTAATGTTTGTTGGCACCTAATCTCCAAGCAGATCTTTTGGTGGGGGTAAGACAGTATCAAATTGGCCAGTCTGTAACCATTTCCCCACCCTTTAGTTGGCACCTGCGGTAGCATTTGGCTCTGTCAGGAATGCCTGTCATTGTATGTATTTTTTCCTATTTAGTGTTTATTTTACCCACCAGCTGAATTACCAAACTGTAATGACCAAGGAGTCAAATTGGTGTATCACTAAGTAATGTACATTTGTAAACTCTTCTATTGAAACAGCGGTTATGGCTATTATGGAGACTAGAGAGTGTTGCTAGGAAGCCAGGGTAGCGTGGCACTACATGTGACAGTTGTAGGTGACCTAAATTATCTGACAATGGGTTTGACCAGTTCAGAGGTCCAGACAGACATGATGTCTAGTCTGTAGTACAGTGTACTTTCTTGTATGCCCCAGTGCAGTGTGCATGATAAAGTGATATTACTCTCACAGGATACAAAGAATAACTGTAACATTGATTTTGCTGTATTGACCATCCCAATGTGTCATGTTACAGTATTTAACACAACCACTTGAAATGTAGGGCATGTATTGTGGAGGTTGCAAAGCAACACCCCCTCAGTCTGGAATGCCCTCTAGTGAACCTTGGTCCTTTGCCAGCACTATGGTTGGAGGTGATGAAATCTTCTGTAAATCTGGAATTATTCACTGCCTTTTCAAGGTGTTATTTTTGGTTGAAGGAATTTGTCTCATGTATGAACAATCATTTGTTCCATTGTACTACTACAGTAATATGTACTACAGTATCTTTTCAGCAGAGAATTCTTGATAAATGATATTTACCATGCCCATGAATTTTAAGGTGCTGCAAACTTGAATGAATGTGTAGTACTTCTAATGAAAACACATCTGTTTAGCCTTTCAGCATTGATGTCTGCTTGTTCATGAGGAATCCCAAATGTTTTGATTCATCTATCAAAATATGAAGGTTGATACATAAAACTTTTATGAGAAAGCATACTGCAAAGAAACCCTTTATCGTCACAAGTTCCTCAAACTCAGATTGATTTACAGTAGTCTCCTTAGCACTTCCTATTTTGTAACTGACCCAAATCAGTCACCCTGTAGAGCGTTACTTATTGAGTGAGTTGGAAAGTAGTTACAGTGTACTTGAAAGAAGATCTATGTCTCGAATCGAATCGTAAGGAGGTCAGTGGAAGAACTTTTGTATCTGTAAAAAAACTAAAGCTTAAGTCCCATAACTTAATAAGAAATTCACAAAAACTCTAAATACTTCACGGAGGTTTGAGATTCTGAATTTCCTCTCATTAATATTGAAGTAGCTGTGAACTTCTGAAGATGTTGACTGCCATGGTGAATGCAGCTGTAAGGAGGGGCCATACCAGCAGCTTAGCATTCCCACCTCTGCTGTCTAGTTAAACATTACAAGGTCAGGACAATGTCAACAGTAGGCATGACTCACTACATTAGCATGTCATGGGGGTAGAATTCCCTAACCTCCAGGGCCTGTATGAGGAGAAAAACAACACAATATTAGATACAAGAGATTGGATAAGTGACAGACCTGTTTATGCCTTGCCATAAATGTAATTAATCTTCAAGCAGATGTTCAGTACAAAATCTTAAAAGTTTTGAATTTGACCCAAGGACAGGCTGTCAGAAAACTTGAATATTTTCCACTCGCAGAAAAACTGTCTGTTCAGAAAACTGAAACATCTGCTTGGAGATTGATAAAATTTGCATGCATACCCAAATGCAAGTATATAGGCATGTTCACACATAGCAATACCTACATACAAATGGCTGCAAAAACAGCCATGTAGACAGTTTTGGTTTGTCTCAATTGCCCGTTATAATGTGTTTAAAAAATGTATAGCAGTACACATGTCACTCTCTCATTCGGAATGCTCTTTGTTCCATGGCAGTGCATCGGTACACTTTGATCCTGTACATTTTGAAAACAACATGCCAAACTATGTGGTGCTGTGACGAATAAAAGCAAATTTGAGAAGCCAGGTATGCAGTTCAATCTACCAAAGAATGATTATGTCAGCAGTATGCCTGGACCATGCTGGGTTCTTCGCATTGTAAGAACAACTGAGTGGTTTATTAGAATCATGCCTCGCAGCTACAAGTAGTACAAGCTGAATCGACACATAAGGGAGGGTTAGAAAAAGTTACATTATTAACAATAGCATGAAAAATTGATTACCACACACGTATCTTACCTGTTTTGTGCTCCAAATAGCCACATGCAATCTGCAGAAAAAGATTTGACACTGCAAGACAAAAATTGAGTAACTTGGAATTTGAATGCCGTCTAATATGACAGGCTCGATATTATGAATCACATACTATAGAACATAAAAATAAAATATTTTGAGCCCTGACCGTTACTGCTATTTCCAATAAACAAAATCTAGCATTGCTATGCTTCCTCCTCAGTGCTTCTATTTTAGGCCTTGGGACTGGTGGAAGGGATGCAGCCTGCCGATCATGCAGGGCAGTATGGGTAAAGGGTTGAAGTCTGCCATCTCCGATTGTCTTGTTAGAAGGCTACTTTTTTACAGTCCAGCCAATTTGCCCATGTCTATTTGACCATGTCCGGTCATATTTGCTGTATAATGTGATAGAACATCTGTACACCTGGTACCACTCCCAGACAAGGTCAGCACTGATAACTTTGACCTGACTGTGAAGTCCACCTGGGCTCAGGAGGTTTCATTCCCATAAATCCCACATAAACGGGAAGGCTGTTTCAGGGTTGTTATTATGGGAAGGTGGCAAAGTAGTCTTGTGGACAGAGTTGCTGATTTCTGACAGGCACCAGTGTGGTTAACTTGTATCCTCAGGAAAGGTACTCTACGTCATCTATTTCCTCACTCAACTCAGGTAAAAATGTGCTTATACTTATACCCACCTTGAACACTGTGAAAAGGCAGGAAAAGTTAGCAACAGTGTTGTACCTATCAAACAAGAGGTCACTAAAAATAAAACCACCACTGAAACTTTCAAGATTTACAGTATAGCTTACATCTCACATGCCAGTATGTGTGTAGGAGGACACCAGGGGCAACTCAATACTGACAGATGGAGAACACACACTATGGGGGGTACAGACTGTCCTGAAGTCTATTTAGCAGATCATTCCAATATCAGGAAAAAGGGATGATGTTCTCATGGTTTTACAACTTTTTGTAACATTATTCAGCTTTTGTTTCCTTAATTGCTTTGCATAGTTGTCTAAAACTTTGTATATATTGTACTGTAACTTTAAGACTATATTCTAAAACTGTCTTAAAGTCTATTAAGTAATTGTATTGGAAAGATTCCCCCAAACTATAGAATGAGATGGTATGTCCTTACAGGTGGTTTACTTTAAATTGGTTCCAAAAAGAGTAAGCATGATTTAAACCATGTGTTTACTTATGTAAGATAAAAGAAGCTCAAATGAACCCTGGGAAGCTTTTTCATTCCTTGATATTAGATACAGGAGTAGACAATTTCCCACAGTAGCTTTTGGCCCTTCTCAAAATATCTTTCTGGTGCAGATAACACTACATGTACATTGTACATAGAGGTAGTACATTATGAATGACCCAAGATTTTGGGTTATCATTAAATAATTCACACACTATCTGTGAATTTAATAGCCCCCTAATGCATATATTGCCTTATTGGTACTGATTACATTTTACAATGAATAAGGCATTTTTAGAGTAGTCTAATTACGAATTACAAAAAATTAAAGCAAAAACAATGTATTCATGCACGGTTAGCCCCTGGTGATGACTAACTCACCACAGAGGTGGGCGGTGTACTGAGCTGTGTACATTCCTCTACACTTCTCTACAGCAGACTCACACATGTGTAAAAATGTATGTTTCTCCTCTTGTGTGTTTCTCCAGAAACCTTTTCTCAAGAAAGTCCAGTGGCAAAACGTCCAGCGAACCCTCTCTGGGCTGGAGACTGTTCCGGTCCAAACAGGCGGCCCATAAAGAGGCCAGTAAGGCAGCAGCTCAGGTATATACAGATGTACATGTATGGTCTTACCTTCTAGTAGTTTACTTTTCATGTATTTTGAACAAAGAGAGGTAAGGTTTTCTTCTTTTAACAACACCTTGAACCGTGTAGTTGTAGTTCTAGACTTGTACATGGTGTTCACTAATAATGGTTCAGAAGTAGCCACACCTAATGTATTTGTTGCATGACCCTATTTGTTGCTATTTCGTCGGTTTCCATGGCATTCAGAAATAGCCAAAGGCACATTGTTTGCAATGCTAAAAGTTAAAGGCAGGCAAAACCTGTTTCAACATAGTATTACAATTTATTTGTGTGTGTTAAATTTTTTGCATACTACAGTACAGAACCGTGACCGATGTATGTTTTTCATCAAAAGGAAGATTTGAAAGTTTGTTACATGAAGTTGCATGACTCTATGAGATAGGACTGACATGGTAACACTAACAAGCATCAAAGAAATTTTTAAGTCATAG